TTTGATTAGAATCTAGTCTCAAATTTTGAAAAATACCACATGAAACACTTTCCAAGCCTCCTTCTGACCAGGCACAAATACAGCAAAGGTCAAACCTTTATACATGTGCGTACAGCTTATTCCTCGTTGCAGCTAAATTGGGAGGCAACACCCGCTTCCAATATGGAAAAGGATAAATATTTATAGATCACAATGACCCTCAGAAAGTAACTACAAAAGAGAACTTTAAAGCAAATAAATTTTTATTTCAAATGTATAGCAAGAAAAATCCTCTATGGGCAATCTTGCCAGCTAATTCCAAGTGGACGCAGCAAGACCCACACAACTCTCCGTCACACGTGTGAGCATGTGGGACAGACACATGCCTGGGCACACACGTGCAGGCACACACACTCGTTGACACATGTCATGCACACAGGAGTGGGCACACACAGAGCTGTCCTAATTGTTCTCACTCTCTAGATCTTTGCTACCGCTCCACCTCCTCATGAAGCCTTTACAGAGCACATGGGCCCCACTGAACTCCCTGTCTCTGAAAATTCATGATGTTTTCAGTTTCTGCTATATGGTTTAGAAGGCAATTGTTCTTTAGTATTTCATTAAGTGAATTTTATGGCCTTGCCTATATCATAATATAACCCTCTGTTATATTCCCAACAGAATCTAATAGAGCTGTGTACATAGTCAAGACTCAATTGATTAAACCAGTACCAGCAAGTTTGTATTGGGTTTTTCATTTAAAATAAAGACAAATTTTTACTCTTGCTCAATCCTCCAATATTTCCAGTTCTGTGTGTGTGATTTTCAGCACATACCTTAAACTTTTTCTTAGATTAAAATGTTTTTTAGTGAATAATTCGTGGATACAGACAATGGGATGGTGAGGGCCTGGGGGTGGGTTGGGAGCGGAATGGAAGAGGTTAATTGGGGGAAAGGAGGACCTATATAATACTTTCAAAAATAAAGATTTTTTAAAAATTGTTTTAATTTTTTACACCTGACCTCAAATAATTTGTCACAAAAAATGAGTGACTCTAGGATAGATTTCTACTTAAACAAGGGCAATTTGTTTCAATGAGATTATTCAGGGAAAAATTTTAAATAATTGCAAATTCCAGTTTAGATGTATGCCCAGGTTGTGGATTCAATCCCCAGTATGGGGCCTGCAGGAGGCAGCTGATCAATGATTCTCTCTCATCATTGATGTTTCTATCTCTCTCTCTCCCTCTCCCTTCCACTCTGAAATAAATAAAAATACATATTTTAAAGTTTTAAAAATACTATTATCATACTTAGAAAAATTAATAATTCCATATTTAAGTTTCCATCTCTCAAGAACAACCTAAATTTATAGCCAGATTGTCTACAAAAGGATTTAACCCATAGTGGTGTGCCTCTTAAATCTATTTTAATTCTTGTCACTGACTTGTTGAAAAGACTAGATCAGTTTTCCCCAAGAATGTCTCATGTTTCATATTTGTCTGGTTGCTGGCTTCTGGTGTCATTTAGCTTGTTCTTCTGTCTCCTGTATGTTCTGAAAATTGGAAGTTACAACTATAATTCCAGTGTAATATTTTTGACAGAGTACACCAGAGATGGTGATGCATAGTTTATGCTGTGTTGTACAAGGAGACATACTATCTGGCTTTCTAGTCCTCAGTGTTAAGAATAATCCCTGGGGTAAGATGATGACAGCTGATCTCTCCACCTGTCCAGGGATACATGTAGTGGGATCGCCTGTGTCCATGACACACAGCAGTTATAAAGACTCTTACCTTGGTCCCTTTAAAGCTGGTCTCTAACCAGCTACACTAGAACCCTGTAACTTCCAAAGAGCAGTGTCTCTATGCTGGGAAAGACCTTTCTGGTTGTGTCATAATTCTTTCATGGAAGCACCTCCTATTTTGTATTAAAGTGTATTTATTTCATTAATAGCCATGGTGACTCTCATTTGTGTTTAACCTGACACATATTCCTTCTTTGTATTAAGACTTTCTGCTCAGTATGGCAATAAAATCATAGTGAAAATAGAAGTAACATGATTCCTTTGGTTCGTGGACAATCTTAGGTTTGGGAAAAGTAGCCGAGGGCAGCAACACATCCACGGATGCACATTGTCGCACCTCCGGGCAGAGTAAGCGCTTTGGGGCAAAGCAGCCTGGCCTGTTGTCAAGGGAGACATGGCCCTGAAGGTTCGAAGAGGGTTCCAGCTTTGGGCAACAAGAGGAGATCCGTGCAGGACAGAGGAACTGCAGTCTCCAAGGGGAAATCATAGAAAGAAGGTCATAAGTTGTGAAAATGAGCAGCCTTCTAACATCCTCTTCACCTGCAAAATTCCACCCTTGGAGGCTGAAGGAGTGGGGAGGGGTCAGCCTTATTGTTTCTCCGGCAGGATGGATGCTCCTGCCACCCAGAGGGACCCAGTGAGAATGTGTAGCTGCCCCTCAAGACGCCTGCTAAGCATGCGCCTTCACAGGCCTGTGCTCCAAACTTACACCCTCAAGAGGGTTCTACTTTTTCACAGGGAGGTTTACAGGTGGTTTGATGGGGAAAATCCTATGTTGGTCTGTCCCACACATTATAGGATCTCTACCCCCAGGCCCTACATGACAATAGCTCTTTTAGACTTTTCCAAACACCAACTAGAAATATGTGTAAGTGTGTGTGTGTAGGGATACATCTAGCATAAATTGTAAGTGTGTGTGTGTGTGTATGCGTGCATTTGTGTAAAAGTCATGTAATAACATCTCCAGAATGGCTGGTACTACTGGAGGGTTCAGATGATAGTTCCAGTCAAAAGGGGGATGGGCAAGGGGCCATGCTCAGTTGGTGTGCTCCTGTTCTTACTGCCCAGCCCCTCACCACACGCAAGAGGCACACCCTAGGCCTTGGGAAAGGTTGGGTGGAGTGGGGACATCCCAATAAATGCTCGCTGGGCCTTCAGATGGTGCCTCCATGTTACTCAAAGTCGACATCTTCCTTCTCCCACCGCTTGCACCTCCCTCCACCCGACTTTGCCCTGATGAATATGGTGAAATGCGTTCAATAGTGTTGGTGAGGGTGTGAAGAAAAGGAGACCCTGGTGGATTGTGAGTGGAAATGTAAAACGATGCAGTCACAATGGCAGTTCCTTAAAAAAATTAAAATTAGAATTACAGCAAAACCCAGCCATTTCACCTCTAAGTATATACTCAAAAGAATTGAAATCAGGGACTCAAAGACATATTTGTACATTCATATTCACAGCAGCATTATTCACAAAAGCCAAAAGGTGGAAGCAACCCAACCCAGGTGCCCACTGACAAATGAATGGACAAATAAAATATTGCATATACATACACAAAGCAAAGAAACTCTGACATGCTACAACATGGATGAAACTTGAAGACATTATGCTAAGTGAAATGTGCCAATTGTAAAACGAGAAATACTGTATTAATCCACCTATAAGAGATACAAGAATAGTCAAATTAATAGACACAAAGTGAAAAAGTAATTACCAGTGCAGGGGGGAGAAGCATGAAGAGTTGTTGTTTAATGGATGCAGTTCCAGTTTCGCAACATGAAGGAGTTCTATGGATGAAGGGTGGTGATGATTGCACTATATTATGAATGTTTTAATACTACTGAATTTTATACTTAAAAATAGTTAAGATGATAAATTTATGCTAGATGTATTTTACCATCACTAAAACTGTTTTTTGGTTAATCCTCACCTGAGGATATTTTTTCCATTGCTTTTTAGAGAGAGTGGAAGGGAGGGGAGGAGGGAAAAAGAGAGAGAGAGAAACATTGATGTGAGAGAGACACATCGATTGGTTGCCTCCTGCACCCGCCCCAACTGGGGCCAGGTGTGAACCTGTAACCCAGGTACATGCCCTTGACCGGAAATAAAATTCTTGACCTTTGGGTGTGCTCTAACCACTGGGAAACATCATTCAGGGCCATTAAACCTTTTTTAAAATTAAATATTGAATTGGTTTGATAGTAAAAAAAATATCAAGTAACAACCAATCCAATGTAAAGATAGAAAGATAAAACAATAGGTACTTCCATCACAAATATGAGAGGGAGTAAAAATACTTTAAAACAGAGTAATTCAAATTCAATACCTCTGCATGGTGTGCCACATACTGCCTTATGCTCCAGCGTGAGACAGACAAGGAAGCATTTACATGGGGTAATAGAAACCATGGTGAATCAGCGCAATAAAGATTATGAAATCTTTAAAAGTATACTTCAAGACTATGTAACATCATGAAGGAATGTTGCTAATATGGTGTTTTGAGAAACCAGAAAAATACAAAATTGCAAGGTAAAATTGAAGTGTAAAAAATTATATGTGGCCCGGCCAGCGTGGTTCAGTGGTTGAGCATCAACTTATGAGCCAGGAGGTCATGGTTTGATTCCCAGTCAGGGCATATGCTTGGCTTGTGGCCTCAGTCCCCAGCAGGGGACGTGCAGGAGGCAGGGGATCAATGATTCCCTCTTATTCTCTCTCTCTCTCTCTCTCTCTCTCTCTCTCTCCCTCTCTCTCCCTCTCCCCCCTTCCTCTCTGAAATCAATAAAAATATTTTTTTTAAAAAGAAAAAGTATAGATGCATATAGACAAGGACTAGAAGGGAAAAGGCAAAAATAAAAGTAGTTCATTTGTTAGGGCAGATTTCTTTTTTCTGCTTTAAAATATGTCTTTTTAATTGTTCGGATACTATTTATACAACAAACAAGAAGATAATAAATTTGAGTGGACTAAAACAGAGTTTCCAAAGGGTTCCCTCTCAGAAAAGGAATTGCTCCAAAAGGTACAGATCACAATTTCTGACAGAAGAAATAACTTTATTTTCAGTCTCAGCTACAATGAACAAAGGGAAACTGTTGATGAGAAAAGAGAACGAAGGTTGCGTTAGGTTTGCCTGGCCACCCCACCCCATGTTCTCCTATTTTGATTGCTCTAGTTCCTTCCCCAGGTGACACCTAGTCCTGGAGATCTTTGTGTTTGTGTTTCCCTAAAAAGCTGGGACTGCTGGGGGCAGCCTATTTCTGTCACCTTTGCGATGCCTAGCACAGTGCTGGGTTACCACTCTAGTTTCTGGCCGGATAAATGCTAATTAAATACAGCCTGCTGAGATCGACTCCGACTACCTGCCATTACATTGTGCTAACTACTGTATGAAATCATGCTGGTGTGTGAGCTACATCACAGACACATGCACCAGAAAGCAAGCCCACAGAGTTCACGAGCATTGCACACGTCAGCAAGGGCCACGCTCCAGAGTTTCATGTCTGGCATGTGTCATTCTGCTGATCAGCAGCATGAACTGGAGGGACCGCAGAACCCCTCTGTAGTGTGGCTTGATGCTGATGATGTGGTTCGCTGTGTAATGGCTCATCATGGCCCAAAGCTGAACATGTCCAGACGAGAGAGGCCTGGGGGTGCTGCCAGCTCTGGGCTCCAGCGTTGTGCTACAGAGGAGGGCACCCAGGCTCCTCCTTTTCAATCACGTCCTCTCTTCCCGTCTAGTCATCAGCTTCAGTAGATGGGGCACTTAGGTGGGAAGCTTTCTGTCCCTTTCTTTGTGGTAGGGAACACACAACACATACAGCATCTGCAAATTTCAAAAGATCGAATCCTTAAGATTTCCCCGTGTTCCCCAGCAGCGGCTGGAGAAATAGCCCTGCAGTTCCAAACACGCAGACAATGATAAAGATCCAAAGAAATACTCTGTCCACCACCATGGCCACATATTTCCAGTCATCTTCTACCTGAAAGCCAAACAAAACAAAACAAAAAAATCAAATCAATTTTTAAAAATCAAAACCATAGGAAATGTGCTCCGTTTCACAAATAAGCTTCTTCCTTTTCAAAGAAAATGCTCCTGGCAAATTCTAAAGCAAATATTGGTATTATTTTGGTTAACTCTACAGAGCACGCAGAAGAGCTTTTGTTTTGCCTGAAGAGGGTGGATCCTCACACCCCGTTAGTGCTTTGGGCAGCTGGCTACAGAGCAGGCAGATCTCAATAAGCCAGGATTCCGTGGGCCAAAGGACCGTTCTGGACTGCAAGGAGCACTCCCGAGAAATAGCTGCTCAGAAAGTGCGGTTCTCGTCATTGGCACCAGTGGATACCTGTCCCCTTGGCAAGTCTTGGGAAACGGGTTTGAGGCAGGGAGGGTAGGACATGCAGCATGAAGGAGGACCCCCTTATCAGGAGCAGGCAGCCCTCTAGACCTCCAGATCATGCTGGTGATGGAGAGTTCACTGCCTTTCTCACAGCCTTCCAGTTTTTGACCTCCTAACTCAGTGATGGCGAACCTTTTGAGCTCGGCGTGTCAGCATTTTGAAAAACCCTAACTTAACTCTGGTGCCGTGTCACGTATAGAAATTTTTTTATATTTGCAACCATAGTAAAACAGAGACTTATATTTTTGATATTTATTTTATATATTTAAATGCCATTTAACAAAGAAAATCAACCAAAAAAATAAGTTCACGTGTCACCTCTGACACGCGTATCATAGGTTCGCCATCACTGTCCTAACTTCTGCCAAAATCTCCCTTTGTGTCTTGAGAGCCCTCCCTGGTGGTGATTAAGTCAACAGCAACTCTCCCCTAGATTTTATGAAGGTGTCACCATAGAGGGGAGTTCTGGGCTCACTTGTCCTGTGATGCATCCCAACCCCACCTGAGTGACACGCAGTCACAGTATCTTCCCCTGCACCCCCAGGGCAGACTTTAGATCTTGAGCTATCCTTTCGCTAGGAGATATGATGCTGGTAACTGCAATATGAGGTCAAAATCAGGCACCCAGCATGAGTTTTCAGATGCCCTCAACTAGTCACCCTTATGGTATGGAAAGTGGGTGTGATTTTCTTGATCTCTTTCTTTGGAGGATGGAGGATGCCCATGGTACTATAGTTAAACTCTAGGCACCGGGAGCAGAATACGTTGATGCTAAAGATATCCCTGGGGCTCATTCAATCAGCACCTAAATCCTTCTGAAGTAGAATAAGCAGGATTGAGCTGTGGAGGATTCACCCCCACTTTCCTCCCACCGCCCTCAGATTGCAAGCTACTCTATAGTCATTTCTCTTTCCCCTCCGTGGGCAGTGTTCCCCTCTCCACCTCTTGTCTGACACTTTCTTGTGCAAGAGCTTCATTAGTTTCATTAACCAAGGTGGCCCTGAATGTTTATTTTAACCGGATTTCACTTGAGTTAACATTGCTGGAGGTGGAGATTTGCTCTGGGGCTGCCTGACCCCAGGTCAGTCCACCCATAACTGTGTAATAACAGAACTGGGTCTTGAAGTAATGCTGCCTGACCCTCTGGTTCTCTTGTCTGACACTTTCTTGTGCAAGACCTTCATTAGTTTCATTAACCAAGGTGGCCATGAATGTTTCTTTTAACCGGATTTCACTTGAGTTAACATTGCTGGAGGTGGAGATTTGCTCTGGGGCTGCCTGACCCCAGGTCAGTCCACCCATAACTGTGTAATAACAGAACTGGGTCTTGAAGTAATGCTGCCTGACCCTCTGGTAAACAGAGCTAACTCTGAAGATCTGACCATGTCTATAAAGTGTCCCTAGGCCTGCTGCAGGTGGACAGGCTAGAGGAGACATGCATTTACCTCCTTTGTTTCATTTTGGTTCTTCATGTTTTCTGCTATGAATTGAACACTGTTAATCACATCTTCGACTTCAGGTGAGTGCTCCGTATTTCCTGTCATCCACTGTAAAGGCTGATGACTTAATCTTCTCTTGCTGGTGGCAAGCTGATGTGATTTATGGCAGTGGCAGCATTCTTTCAGAAGTTTGGGTTCTCTGCGACTATCAAATTTGACTTTGGTAGGCCTACCGGAAATGCTTTTGGGGTTTTTATCAGAACTTATCGTCCTCGTCTTATCCAGAGGTCTCTTCATCATCAGGATCTGGGGCAACAGCTGGAGGAAAACCATCTTCACCCAGTTGGGCATGGTGTGTGTTGTTGGAGTGCGATAGTGTATGTTCAACACAAATACAGTCACCGCGATGGACAGGGTGACAAAGATCATGGTGAACAGTAGGTATTCACCCACCAGTGGGATCACAAGAGATGTAGATGGGATGGTTTCTGTGATTACCAGCAAAAACACAGTCAGAGAGAGCAGAACTGAAATGCAAAGTGTCACTTTTTCACCACAGTCGGAAGGAAGGTAAAAGACCAACACAGTTAGAAATGAAATAAAGAGACAGGGGATGATCAGGTTAATGGTGTAAAACATTGGCAATCTCCTAATGTAAAAAGAATAGGTTATATCTGTGTATATCTCTTCACAACAGTTGTATTTTATGTCATGCTTATAGCCAGAAGCATCAACAATTTCCCATTCACTGTTTTCCCAAAAATCATTCATATCCACTTTAGATCCAATGATCAGAAGATCAATTTCAGCTTTGTCATATGTCCAGGAACCAAATTTCAGGGAACAATTTTGATGATCAAAAGGAAAAAAAGTGATATCCATAGGACAGGAACTCTTAAAAATAGCTGGTGGAGTCCAGGTTATCATGCCATCGTATTTAAGAAGAGCTTTTGTCTTGCCTTTGACTTGGAAGTCACCAACAGCACTGCAAGATAAATCAGACCATTAGTAATATCCCCTTTGCTATGTATGGGTCAGCATGTACCAAAGGCAACTTTAGAGACTACTGCTGTCGACTCCCGTACTTGTTATAGAGAACAATGTCAGGCTTCCAGATCTTATCTGCAGGAACACGAATAGTCTCAATGCCATCAAATTCCGTTGGGTCCCAGCGCAATTTGTAATCATTCCAGATCTAAAGGAAATAGAAGTCAGCTTTTAAAAAATTTTTTCTTAACAAATTTCTTCCAATGTTAATTCTGTTTGTTCAGCAGTACTTTTGAAAAATGAAGTTCTTAACTGAAGAGTACATTGGGTTCTACCAAAAATTGGGAGATTAAATCAATGAAATAGGGGGATAAGTAGCTGAGCTAATTTTGGAAAATATAAATTATCTAATAAATAGTGATTATTAATTAGCTGGCCATGGTTCTAGGCTCAACTTCCATGTTCCATGTACTATATTCACACTGGAGTACAACTCATTTCTGAGACTGGAAAGGTTGTTCAAGTGTGCGATGATGAGTTTGTTACAAAATCTGAGTAAAAGATTAATACAAGGGAAAAAGCAAAATGGTATAGCCTAAAACCAGCTGATGGGACCCTAACCCACATGCTGTCATGCTCAGCTACTGACTTCTCCAGGATTAGTTGAGCAGGATCAAAGAGAGGGCAGGCACCTGACTCTGGAGCTCAAGCTACAGATGAAAACAGATTTGCGAGCAGAAACGAGAAAGGACAGAGTTTCTGTCTCAGAGAACCTTGTCACTAGGTTCCTGCACCTGTGGAGCTTGCATCAAGCCAGCTATTCACAGAGCTGAACTTCAGGCTTTGGAGAAAGGTGATATTGTATGCTCTCTCACAAGGTGGAGATGGAAAGAGGGGATGCTACTGGATTTTTACCCATCGGGCATTGTTAGGCTGACCCATGAGTAACACAGGTCCAAGAGGACATGTGATGTAGACACATACATGACGTAGCCACAGGTTGGTTTCCATGATCTGGTTTACTTCATCCTGGGAAGAAGAAACAATATTTTTAGCCTCAAATGTATTGTTAATAGAGGTGGATCTTAGAACAAGAATTACTACTAAAAAGAGCCAAATCTGAGTTATTCATGTTAATAGAGGGAAACAAAGAAGATTGAAAAGTCAACTTGTAAAAAGCAGCCAGAAATATGATATTCCACATCTGACCTCAACCCTGTTGACTTTGAAAGAAAATGTGGCTTAAAGACTGTCTTTCAAATGTGATTTAAGACTCACCACTTCTGTGAAGCCTTTCTGATCACCATAGCCTATAAAGGTTTCTGAGCCCATGAAAGGAAAGAAGGGAGAGCAGAGGGAGAGTGGGAAGGAGGGAGGAAAAATACCACAGAAGGTGGTAGGTATCTGAACCTGGTTCATTGTTTTTATGGTCTTCTCAATTTCCTGAAAAACCTCCCTTTCTCAACACTCTACAGCAAGCATGTCAAACTCAAAGACTAACACAGACCAAATAAAGGAGTCATACAGCCCGCGGGCCGCGAGTTTGACATGCTTGCACAAGCTCTGAGTCCTGAGCCCAATTGCCCTTTGAAATGTCAGCCTCAGCTCACCATGGAGTTTTCCAGCTGCAACCTGCCACTCCCTCACAGCACATCACCCAAGCCATTGCTGATTGTTTCAATCATTATCTACATAAATATTTACTGAGTACCTACTATGTGCTCTATAATGCTGGGACTACAGTAGTAAATAAGATGGGGAAAATCCTTGCCTTCGTGTGTCTTAGCTGTTATTGGGGAGATAGAAAATCAATAATAGGTATATAATATAATGTAAGATAGTGATAGGTCCTATGGAGAAAAATGAGGGATGGGGTGATGTGTGTGTGCAGACATGCACATGCATGTGCACACGCAAACATGCACACACACACATCTGTTTTAGACAGGATGAACTAAAAAGGCTTCTAAGCAGGAAGTAGTCTCAGCAGGTACCTAAATGACCTGAAGAGAGTCATGGGGTTATCTGGAAGAAAAGCGTTGCAGGCGGATATCCCAAATATAATGTGTTCAGAAGCAGCTACCAACTCTCAGAGGGAAAGCTATTGAAGACACATCCAGAGCCTTCAGCAGCCTTATAACACAACAGCCTGAGGTTCAGTGATGGTTACTCAGTAGGTTCCCAAAACTTACCAACCTTGCTTCCCAAGGCACATGAACACCCTTCAGAGTAGATGAGTTCAACTGTGGCCACAAAAGCTGTGGCCAGACCTCAGACACCAGCCTGCTCTGGTTCACTGCGCTGCTCTGCAGTTCTCCAGCTCCCCTGAAAAACTAACTGGAGACATTGCCAAGCTTCCTTCTACAAATGGGTTTGTGTCAAGTCATGGTAAACCTCAGGTTCTAAAAGGTCAACAAAAGAAGTTACATTCATGGTTTCCTACTGGTCAGAGAAAGCAAAGAAATGGATTATCCATTGGCCAAGTAGTCCAGGGCTTGACAATTACCCAAACCTAAAGTTTGTGCCTTCTGCTCATTAGAGGGTTACCTTGTGACCTACAGATTTCAGCAGAGGCCATGTCAATAAATGTTTTGGCTGTCAGTCAAAAATGGATAAGCTCTGAAGTCCAGAAAGGTCTTGGGGGTAACTGTCATAAGCATCTTCCAAAGATTGCTTCCTTCTGCACATTAGTACATTGAGTTCAAAGAATTAAAATCAGGTGTTGCCCTAGCCGGCTTGGCTCAGTGGATAGAGCGTCAGCCTGCGGACTGAAGGGTCCCAGGTTCGATTCCAGCCAAGGGCACATGCCTGGGTTGCGGGCTCGATCCCTAGTGGGGGGTGTGCAGGAGGCAGCCGATCAATGATTCTCTCTCATCATTGATATTTCTATTTCTCTCTCCTTCTCCCTTTCTCTCTGAAGTCAATAAAGAAATATATTTAAAAATAAAAATAAATATCATTTAAAAAATTAGGTGTTGATATTGTCCTGACATTATCCCTACTTTCCCACTTACACTTCCACAGGCTGGTGAAGCTCCTTGAGATATGGACTCCTTCAGAGGTGTTACCCAACTTTATGGATCAAGACTTGGTCTGGCAAGTCCTGTTCTATGTCCAATTCCAGACCACACCAGTGGCTATGGGCACTGTCATCAGACAGCCCAGCTGGAGAGGCCAGAGACCCACAATACCACTCCACATTCCTGGGACCATTAACCTGTATCTTTTTCTTGGGGAAATAAATTAGATGATACCCCACCTGCATTAAAGATTTTGAGTTACAATTTCAAATGGATTAACTTCTAGAGCAGCAGAGATTGTGATCAGAAAGGCCAGGTGTGCTACATTTTGCAAGGCCTTTGTCATTTTAGATATGCCAGGCGA